CCACTCCACCACAGATGCGCACATTAGATGAAGATAAATTTGGAGTCGAGAAGATAATGGATGTGCGATCCGACAGGAAGACCCGTTTTTTAATTTTTTAACGCCAGTATTTGGTGCAATAGAAGAGACCTGGTGACCCGACATAGGTAGACGAGGACCACTTGAACTGTGGAGTCTTGCTGCAAGAGTTCGAATGTGACAGGGTCAGCAAGAATCGTTTCGAAGAGATGCAATCACACGAAAAAGTGGTGGATAAATAGCCAACCTGTCGACTAGAGATTGGCGTACAAGGAGGTTGTATGAAAAGGTGGATGTTTTAAATGTCTGTGAGTGACGACCTTAGATTGCGGAGATCCGGTCGCGGCTGAAAAGCTGAAGAAAGAAAAGAAATTAGGTAAATTTTCAGAAGAACAAAAGACATTGGAGAGGGAGTTAAAAATCTGCAGGGACGCTGACGGGACATACGACTTTAAAGAGCCCACGAGAATTCTAAACTTCCCAAAGAAGAAAGTGGCGAAAGAATGCAACGAAATTGGGGGCGAGATTGTCGCGATTTGATCGAGATCACGTGACGATGGAAGATATTCGATTAGTGGGGGTAGCCTTGTTGATCGATACTGAAAAGAGATATAATTGACTACTTTTGAGCTCGTGAGAGATCAAATGAAGTGAACGGTGATGTAGAGACCATTACATTCAAGGATTCCGATCAGGAGGTAGCTGATCTGGTTCATGGACGGTCCACCTATCAGCCAGACGCGATCACGGTCGAGGATTGTAAGGAACAAAGATGATCCAGAAAAAAGGCCAAAAGATTTGCGGCGATGACAACTGACGACATTTTGAAAGGAAGGAGAAGGTGAAGGCACTGGCGGTTATGTATTTGACCGGAACTAATGAGGAAAACGGTCAAGCGTATACCGATTCAAGAAAATATTTTGCTAGTTGAATTCCATCAAGGACAACGATCCTAATGAGGCTGGTCGTGTTCAATTACAGTCCACCAATTATCCAGACGGGATTATTGTAGAGGATTGTAGGGTACAAGACCGGTCTAGCAATCAACCAGACGCGATACTAACTGAAGAATGAGGGTTGCAAGGCCCGCTCAACAAGGACGATCGACGATCAACAAGACCACCTATGGCGTCCACACACTAATGTGGATCGTAGGTATCGATCCGATTCGGCATGACCAGCCAGGGTGCTGTTTTGAAGAGGTCTGAAAGTCAATAGCTGTCAAGATGCAAGAGGATGCACAGCTAGGTCGACACCTTTTGTCGACTAACGATGCAGGGGACGATTGTGGTAAAGTGATCACGATATTTAACCGTGGTGTTGGGATGCGGGAGCCCATAGATGGCAGAAGTCAGTTAAGTCCGAGAATGAATATTATAGGAAGAGTATTGGCTTGAACGGGTGGCTCGCAATTCGGATCCGATCTCGAGAACTCTATCTTGTGGAGAAGCGCAGGTGAAAAATAATGAAAGTGTGGATCGTTCGAACCGCATTAAGTGTGAAATCAATATGGTTGGTAAAGCACGCTCGGATATGGGCCGTTGGTACGAATGAAAATATCAAACGACTGAGTGAGTAAACGACTGTTGAAGTTATGCGGATTAATATATTTAACGAGCGAGAAGGAGTACAGTCAAGGATCGATAATTGACCGATCGTGACACGCGATCAAGGGCTCAGAGGTGACGGCGATCCGACTGTGGATGCCCGATCAAAGACGCAACCGATTGACCACAATCCATCCTGGGTATGTACCTCTGGTTGGTGTGGACACATATTTGGCGTGGACGCGTAACTGTTGTCGATCCCATAATTGGTGTGCATCACATACCACGATCCACTACCCCGCCTTCTACTATACTTCGATTCACGACACCGCGGTCCACTGTCCCGCGATCCACTACCCCGTGATTCACTACGTAGTGTCTGTTGTAGACCACATGATGCAAGAAGTGAGTCACATATACAGGCGATACGCGACAGAGATCTATCGAACAGATAGGCATAGACTTAGAACTTCGATTTGGTTTATTAACATTAAACAGAATTAGATTCGCTACGAAAGACATGCGTCGACTCCTCCCAGCCAGGAACGTTGGCTTCCTGTTGAACAGAGAGTGACCCACGTCTCTGCAAGCTTTGCCACTGTATTGTTTGGACGGGCGGAAAATCAGTTCTTACCCCCTCTCCTCAACTGCGATAGGACGCAGTACACCTTGCTATTAAGATTCAAGATCACAAGACAGCTCAAGCGGTCAGAAGGCTTGCGAAAAAGCATCACTCTTGTAAAAAAGCAACTCTGGAAGAGCGACCAAGTATGCACGCGATCGAGTGAAGAGTTTCCACTCGATCCACCCTGCGTGCGACCGGGTGCGGAATTTCCACCCGACCAACACCTATCCCCGAAACGGTCAATTTCAGCTTCAACTCAAGTCCACAAAGAAGCGCGCAACCATCTCCACGAACGGGTACACAAGGTGAGCAAGAAGAAACAGAGGACGGGATAGGGGTACCCCCTCCGTTAGTCGTTTTGTCTGGGCTCTAGTAGAGAGTCGTGATCACAAGAAATTTGTGGTCACTACTACACCACAATGGTGCGCGTGCCCCGATTCGAACCAGTGATATCACCGTGAGTCCCTGAGAGAAGAAGTCAAGACCAGGACTGAACCTGGGATAGGAGAGCCAAAGAAAGAGTGACTTTCGGAGACGCGAGAGAATGAAGGATTTCCAGATTGTAAAAGCTTTGGGAGAGGCTATGAAAATAATAAAAAAGAGGCAGATCGGGTGCACGATTTAAAAGAAACAATATGACCCTTTCCTGAGGTTGCTTCAGGGCCTACCGCGGATTGCGCTGAAAATCACGATCTGCAAGATGGAAATCATAGGGTAATTCTTATTAGATTTTTATTTGATCGGAGGAACCATCAGACATGATGAAGAAAGAAGCGAGTAGTTTGGACGACTTTAAGAATCTGGCCGCAGTGAAACAAGATCGAAACGTTTACAAAAACAAGCAAGCCGAATGAAACTTCGAGACGGAAGAGATGGATATAGACTCTAAGTCAGTGGATCGCGAAGTAAAATTTGAAGATTGGCGATTCGACAAAACCATCCGGGAGTACCATTCGAAGAATCTGAAGAAGCTGTTTTCAAGTGGCCCTGTGCTTAAGCCGATCGGGCCAAAGCTGATTGGATCGCTGCGCGGACCGATATCAGTGCCCAAACCAACTCCCAACGTGTTGGAGGCGCTCCGACGTCTAATTAACCTACTAACGGAGGGCGGGGTTCATTGCTGGGACGTTCAATGCCCAAACGCTACTAGAGTGCAACCACGACCGAGTTATTGCCGCAGGACAGTCGTTGTTTAAAGCGATGAGCCCGCTCATGGGCGTTCGCAACCCCGAAGAAAACCCGGCCTCGCCGATCGGCATCACGGATCGACAGAATGCGTCGCGGGTCACGATGTATCAAGTTCTCACACCGATAAACGACTCCTCAAGGGGAGAACACACGGGATCGTCCCGTCATGTTTCAGCGGAGTCAGAAGAGGAATCGATACGCTTCGGTCGAGAACCAACTGCTGTCGCTAGGACCAAAAGGCGCGGATCCATTGCGAAAGAAATTTGGACAGAACGGTGAGTAGGCGCAAGCGAAAAAGCCACCGGCGAGTCAGTTCATGAACATGATGAAATTGTGGCGAAGTGGTGATCACAACTTCCTTGTGATTCCGACTCTCTACTGGCGCCTGGACGACCGACAAATGGAGGAGGTACCCCTATCCCGTCCTCTGCGTTTTCTTGCTCACTTTGTGTACCCGTCGGTGGGGCGAGTTGATTGCTTTTTGGTGCGCTTGAGCTGAAGCTGAACTTGACCGTTTCGGGGATAGGTGTTGGTCGGGTGGAAATTCTACACCCGGTCGCACGCAGGGTGGATCGAGTGGAAACTCTTCACTCGATCGCGTGCATACTTGGTCGCTCTTCCAGAGTTGCTTTTTTACAAGAGTGATGCTTTATTCGCGAGCCTTCTGACCGCTTGAGCTGTCTTGCGATCTTGAATCTTAATAGCAAGGTGTACTGCGTCCTATCGCAGTTGGGGAGAGGGGGTGAGAACTGATTTTCCGCCCGGCCAAACAATACAGTGACAAAGCTTGCAGAGAGGTGGGTCACTCTCTGTTCAACGGGAGTCCTCATTGAGCACATTATCACCAACCACCAGACAGGGACGGGACAGGACATTGACCGGCTCATCTACGAGCAGATCATTGTCGAGACGTACCCGTTGCACGAAGATCAAGAGAAGATGAACCTGAAGGAGCGCTGGATCGTGTGGAGCACGTCGCCGATGAACCAACCGTTTGACCGTATCTGCCAGTACGTTGGCGTCAAGGTCGCTGTAACGGGGTAGCGCGTTACATGATATTGTCATTAAGGCTAAAATGGCTTTAAATAATATTACGTTGAATATTCTTTTTACAATATCACAGACGTGGTGAATTGTTAAGATGACCGAAGGGTCTACTCATTGGTTCATATCGTGATGATATCAACCCACCAATCGCTGCTAGACGCGCGCAATGGGTGGTGAGTAGACGTCAACATACATTTAGTTATATTGATATAATTAAGTCAGGACAACAGAGATTCAAAGAGTTATAGGACTTAATTATATTCATACAGTTTTGCTTTTACCGGAGACTAGTATGACTACTTAGTCTCCTTTCCTTCCCCTGTGTTCGTTTAACACCTAGCAGGGCACTATCGACCACATTCGTCAGTGGAAGTATACTTCGTACTGGTCAATCAGTACGTAATAAACAGTGCCCCGTTACAGTCGCGCTCTACTTTCTCTACGTCGGACACTACACCAAGTGGCTCCTGTATCCGATTCTGATCGGAATTCTCACGGTTACCGTGAGCTACTGCATCCCACATGACAACTGCACCACCGTGTTTGCCTACATCTCGCCGCTTTTTGGAGCGTTCATGACAATCTGGATGACCATCTACCTCGAGAACTGGAAGCGGCTTAGCTCGCGAGAGACGCTACGCTGGGGCACAGCACACTTTTCAGAGACGGTGAATCTTCGCCCGCAGTTCTACGGCGAGCGCATCCCCTCGTTTATCAATGGTATGCCCACGCGAAACTTTCCCCCTCGTGAGAAGCTCAAGCGAGTGGCCTACAGTTGGGTGGTCATCTCTTTCCTCATCCTGGTCGTGTTTGTCATCGTGTCCTCGATTTTCATGCTATCCAACGACCTGACCAAGGGCGACGACTCGGACAAGCTCGTGCTGGATAATTACAAGTACGGCTCAAACGTGTCGTCGCTCGCCAACGTTGTCCAGATCACCCTCATGACAAAAATCTACAACTACGTTTCGATTGTGCTTGTGGATCAGGAAAACCACCGCACGGATATGGAGTACGAGAACAGTCTCATTATCAAGACTGTCATCTTTCAATTCTTAAACAACTACGCGGGTCTGATTTACGTGGGGTTCCTGAAAGAAGGATTCGAAGATTGCGATGTGAGCTGCATGCACGATCTCGAGTACATGCTCGCGATCGTGTTTTGCTCGCGACTGTTTGTGGGAAACATTGCCGAAGTGGCTGTTCCTCGCCTATTTGTGTACTTCAGCAGGTACCAGTTACTGGGTCACTTGAATTACTACAAGCAGTCCGACGCTGAACGAGAAATCTTTATGGCGCAGTACGACTGGCACGGTACCTTTGACGACTACACGGAGATGGCGCTCCAGTTTGGCTTTACGAAAAAATTTGTCGTGGCTTTTTCATTTGCGCCTATGCTGTCCTACGTGAACAACTACTTCGAGATCCGCTTGGACGCATACCGTCTCATTTTCGAGTCGCGTCGTCCACGCCCGCGTAACGTGCGCAGTATGGGATAATGGTACCAGGTGCTGCAAGCGTTTGCAGCGATCTCCGTGTGTACCAATGGTGTAACGGGGCACACCCTTGCGTGAACTTAACGCAAGGGCTTGGGTGCCCGACAGACGTACACGAGGCAAACGAGGAAGCGTAGATAAGGGAAAAGTAAAACTCTTATATTAATATAATTAAGTCTTTATCCACTGTCTATCTGTTTGACTTAACTTAATTATACTAATCTAACTGGGTGTATGGTGACGTCTCGTCACCAATCATTGCGCGCGTCTTACGGCTATTGGTGGGTTGATATCATCAAGATATCAACCAATGAGCAGACCCTTTGGTCGCTTCACCAATATTACCATTATCGGTGATATTGTTCAAAGAATATTCACTTAATATTCTTTATTGTCATTGTTTCTTTAAAATGACAATTCCATGTAACGGGCTGCCCCGTTACAAATGGTGCAGTTATCATTTTCACAGGCGACTTCTACAATCATCTGGAAATGCCTACCCGCGTGTGGATGTTTACAATCTTCATCAACGGCATGTTCCTGTTCAAGTACTTTCTCGAGATCTGCATCACCGACGTTCCGGAGGATGTGATAGTGCAGAAGTATCGCCAAGAGTTCCTCATCAGTAAGTGTCTGTACCACATGCCTGATGACGACGTCAGCTGCCCGATCGGAGACGACTGTGATGACCTGGCAAATGAGCTCACTATTGTCGACGAAGACTCTTCGTGAACGTGAGGTGCATCAGTCGCCATTGCAAACGGGGCCAATGTGCAGGCAACTAGTCAACGAGACTCATTCTGTTCAAAGGAGCCTACCTACCTGTTGCTTTCCCAAAAGAAACGTTTGACATTGTAAAAACCTGTTGGCCAAGTGCATCAGTGAGGTGCAATCGTTCTCTTGACACGCAGTACGCGCCGTCATACCCAATTATTTTTTTGCCGCAATGTAAATGAACTGCTCTTCGTATTCACACGTTGTCATTGTCTTTTTGTCAGCTCAAATGGACAGTGTCAGCGACACTGTATCAGCAGATAGCCGACGGACAAATCCTTTCGTGTCTTCTATCGGAACTGACGGGTGTAGCCATAACGGTGCGTGCGACCGACCCCAGCTGTTTGGCAGTCAGAGAAAGTACCGTGTTATGTGCTCGCAAACTGCCTGTTCGGTGCACGTGTGTGCGCCTCGTTGCGTCTTTTTAGCCAATCGGCGGTCGTCGTGCGTGCAAGCGACTTTGGAAGGCACAAAGAGCCGAACGGCTCGCGGGGCTGGACGCTTGACGCTGGGCTCGATATGCGGCACTTGCCGCGCAGAGACGTTGACGAGGAGGTTCACGACGCAGCGGAGGAGCTTGGGAGAGCCATTGGCGGAAGCGACGGTCCGCGCATGTGCGACGAAGACGAAGAAAAGGCTGCAGAAGGGAACGAATTTCTCAGCACGAGACACTTTCTGCCGGACAGCGACCCTTGGGGTGGACCAGAAACAGTGTACAGCTCGTATCCGCAGAGGTCGCTGGGCTTTATGTGTCCACTTTGCCTCTGCGTGACGCACTTGCCGGCCCAACAGGACTGCGGACACGTCTTGTGCTTCTCCTGCCTCCAGCAGTCCCTCTCTATAGTGGGCGCTTGTACGCTGTGTCAAGCACAGCAGATGCTCGAGATCCGTGAGACGGCGCTACTTGCTGCGCCAGAACAAACGATGGGAATGCCATGTGTTCGTGCAGAGCGAGCTGGTCATGTGCCGGTACATTGATCTCTTGGGTCGTTGAAAGTGTATGTTCGTGGTTTGGTGCACTTCTGAGCGATTTTTGATGTCTTGTGATGTAGATCTCGACGTCGGCTCATTTGTCAGTATTACAAAGAGCTGTTGGTCAATCGGACCATGTGCATGTCAGTAGGAACAAGCACAGCATGTATGCTGACACGGCCGTGTTTGCGGGCTACGAGGCAAACAAAGGGTACGAGGATCTCGTGCCAAATACCAGTGCAGCACCGTTCTTGTTCGACAGTCTGAGTGATTTGGATGACGTTATCGATCTTGATGATCTGGTTTCGTCGGACAGTGAGCAGCCTTCGTCATTGGTAGCAGAATTCGTCTCTCTGGATGAAAACGTCACTGTGGAACCTTCGCGCCATCCACGAACATCGCTACGAAAAAGGAGCTTTGATTCGTATGGACAACCGCCGACGGTTGAGGAGACGCCTACTATATCAGTGCCGAAAAAGTCATTACCGGCTAGCATTTGTGCATGCAGCAAGAAGACTAAAGCGCGTAAGTTGAAGCGCGGGGAGCTCGGTGCTACTCGAATGGAGTGGCAAGTAGTGCGTTCAGAGGGCTCTCCACCGGATCCACGATACGATTGTGGGCTCGCAATGTATGGAAACGTTATGATTGTTGTAGGCGGCATCGTAGGCGAGTTACGGCTAAATGACCTATACACGTTAGATCTTGCCGCAAAACCTTTGCCTCAATGGATTCGACCGCCGGTTGGCGGTGTATCGCCACCATCAGGCCATCTCCTCCAGATTTTCGTCATTGACGACAATTTGTATGCGATTGGTGGCACCACTGATGGTAATTTTCTGACGGAACTTCACCGACTTCACCTCAGTACGTTCACCTCGCAAGTTTTGCATTGAGCAGTTTAGTATATCCGATTGACAATCACCTTGTGCGTGTGTTGCGAATTAGAGTGTAGTGAGTGGAAGTGGGAAAAAATTGAAGTGGCTGGAACGCCTCCGTCAATGCGGTATTGGTATTCATTGACAGTGTTGCAGGGGATGGCAATATTGTACGGAGGCTACGGCCACCCTCGACGACTGAGTGATACGTTTGCGCTTCGCTTCGGTTCGTACTCTTGTTGTATCGATTGTAAGATGAGGCCTAATCGTTAGCTTGCATGTGACAGACACCGAGGTTCCAACATGGGTAGAACTTCAACCTCGCGGAGAGATTCCGGGATCGTCGTCGACGCACTCAGTATGCGTCATCAACGATCGCATGTACATATTTGGTGGATACGACGGCAAGTGTCGTCGTGGCCAGCTTTTTTCATTCGAGATCGGTGCGTGTTTGTCAGGAAGCGTATGCGAGTATTGAAGCCAATGCGGTATTTCTGGTGCAGAAGATGCTTCGAGTGAGCACATCGATTGTGTGTGGTGCAAAGTAGAGACTCAAGGGCGTGGCCCTGCATCGCGCTACACGCATTCGAGTGCCAGTATTGGCTCGCAATTGATTGTCTACGGAGGTAATACCGGGTGCTTGAAAGGCGACGCGTATGTGCTGGACGTTGGAGCAGGTACTACGTTTGCAGCAATTGATACGTAATGACTCGACTGACGCATGATTTTGTCGTCTTTAGACGAAGACACTCCGATTTGGAAACCGGTCAAGTGTGATCCCCCGTTGACTCCGCGTGCATGGCACCGAGCAGTGGTTTGCAATGGCGCAATGTACGTATTTGGAGGCAACACCGCTGACGGGAAGGAGAATAACGTGATACGCGTCGCCTTTTAGGCGACTTAGATCAATCGTGTATGGACTGCGTCCACCGCGGACATTTTTTTCAACGAATGTGGCCGCAGGGGACGACAGCATGCACGCTGGACAAAGGCATAGAGATGCACTATGTAGGTACGATACAACTGGAGCATTGTTGGAGATGATGGCAGATGATAGCGGAGTCGTACATCGGCAAGAGATGAAGGTAAAATCGTAAATGCGAGCTTGATGTGTAAACGGTATGTGAGTGTGGCTACGGTGCAAGTCAAACTTTTCGGCAGCTACTTATTGTCTGTAATAAGTCACGCACGCACGTACGCACATGCTTGGCTCAAAAGCGTTAATAATGCAACATTCACATGCATGACGACTTCTCGATCCGTAAGCAAAAAATGTACACAAAAGTAAGAGATTGGCGGTCACCGTACGCGCTCAGCGGTAAAAGAGTTTGCTGACTTTCTGCTGTTCATCACCAAATGCTTGTCGTCGATCGCACTTGCTGTTGTGTCTGCTTGTTGCCGCATGAAATAATAACGAGTCTGCTGGAACTTTGTCGCTGCACCGGAAACGTCGCTGACTTCTAACACTGCTCCATCAGTGACGTCATTGAATTTTGCGTTGTCATTCTCGTCAATATGGTACCTCTACCGATGCAGACTTAAGTCATTGGCGCTAAGTCCGTGCAGAATAGAATCTAGCATCATACGATGAAGGACACAATGCTTGACAGAAAGTAGGATGATCAGTGTCGATGGTCGCACCACGTTACTCGTTCGTCATAAAAAATCAAGCCTTTCAACCATTGGCGACTTGTTTTCTCAAAATGTACTGACAATTCCATAGCAAGCTACCTGTATGTATGCGTCGTACAACATGTACATTGATCATCAAAGATCGGTGTGCCTAGACGATGTGTCTAGCCTGCTACAACAAAAAAGCCGCGGCAATCATTCACCCCAACACGGAAGACTCATATTTCACCTTTGCAGCTTCAAGTCGATCACGTTCCGTCCACTTACGTTACAATACACAGACTTTGCTCATTTTCTCTCTATTATGTTCGAACGCGCCGTCTTTTAGCCTGTTCTCCTGCATTAGTTATCGATTCGTCACATCTTGGTCAATGTCAAGTCGGTAAACGCGGTGGACATACACGATATGGAATTCGCCTCCTGAACATCGTTGAACCGACAGATCCTTTGATCATGCTAACAAATTTATGCGAGGATCCACTTATTGATGTTGCCAGTAGTCATTTATATGTACACGCACAACAACGGTGTTTCTTACAAGCTTTATTATTACAGTCACTCTTTGAGACAATTACGAGTATCTTCAATCTTTTTGCTCAGCATATCCCTCTCTCATCTTTGTTCTTGTGCGAGCTCATCCACGCGAACTTCGTTGAGCTTTCGACACTGTTTGCAGTCTCTATTGCATTCAAGTACAAGCATGTTTTGAAATGTAGTAGGACATATGTCGGCCTTACGAGACATTTAGAATGTGTCTCTTTGTACGCTCGGCACACGCCGCGTTCTAGTCAGAGCTAACACACAACTTTTAAGTTGTGTGGCGACACATCCCTCGCAATAGCGATATTGGTACCAGAAGGTTGATATGGATAAAATAAACGACCATAGGTCGATGGCCTGGCCTTACACTGATCAAAATCATCGCTATTCACTTTCGAAGTGGTGTAGCGGGGTTAGCCATGATATTGACACACCAAAATGGATCATTGAGTATACTATATTTATAAAAATATTATACAATATATCCTTGCTGGGTAAATATTGAAGAGATAGCACTGTCGAGTAAACTCGGTGCTGCAACTGCTTCACGCATGGTTGACGTAGTCTGTTAAATTATCCGAAAAAACCACGAATCGATGCTACAGGTGAGCAATGGGTAGTCGATCAGGTAAGCTATATTGAAAATTTGTTGTTTGATATCGTTAAAATGAGAAAGCGATGTTATATATTACAAAAGTTTCAACTGTAGGTTAAAATTTGGTCTAATTTATCTTAGCCCAAGTGTGTCGTGCACAAGACCAGTCTTCCTATGCATAAAGAGTGTACGTGAGGTTTCGAGGCACCTGCCTACACTGTGGTCATCATATGTGGCTTGTTATGTGCCCGTACAATTACCCGGAATTCCGTTAGTTTTCAGAAGTGCGCCAAAGTGGGTCACAGCATACTTGTATCCTTCAGTAGACACATTGCATCATAGTCACTATTTGTAACGGAGCACGCTCTTACCAGATGACGATTAAGACCATGTGTTAATGGAACACAAGAGTGCGTACTCCTGACGCCACGTAAACGCGGCGTGAGGAAGCGCAAACTAGTAAACAGAGATCGGTATCTCTGTATAAGTGTAACGGGGCAGCCCGTTACATGAAATTGTCACTTTAAGGAAAGTGACAATAAAGAATATAAAGATGGATATTCTTTAAAACAATATCACCAAAGTGGTGATATTAAAGGGTCGACCAAAGGGTCTGTTCATTGGTTGATATCGTGATGATATCAACCCACCAATCGCCGCAAGACGCGCGCAATGAGTGGTGACGAGACGTCACCATACATGCAGTTATATTAGTATAATTGAATTAAGTCAAACGAAGAGACAGTAGTTTAAAGACTTAATTATATTAAAATAACAGTTCTACTTTTACCCTACCTACGCTTCCTCGCTTGCCACGTGTACGTCTGTCGGGGCACTCAAAACCCTTGCGTTAAGTTACGCAAGGGTGTGCCCCGTTACACCTGGTAGCACTTTGTAGTCCTTCCAAGGACCACATCATCCAACATGAACATGTTGGATGAAGAAGACACCTTTCACGCCACGCGTGAAGGGTTTACCCATTTGAGTGACATCGAATGGGGTGCGGTAGAACGAATGAGTTCTACCGTAGGCGAACTCGTCGTCAGCACCATGTTGGAGTCTCTAGACACAGACCAACAACATGCCGCTATCGCCAAGTTCATTCAGAATGAACTTGCTCTCGAGAGGGAGAAAGTAGCCTTGCTTCACCAGCAAGGCTCTCAACAGGCCGAGCAGTTGAGAGAACTCGGTGCTCAACAGACGGAGCTGTTGAGACAGCAGCAATTCCATGCTGCTGTGGGCGGGACGGCGCATGCGCGTCGTCCCGAAGTCATGAAAGTCGACATCTCCAAGTACAGTGGAGTCCCGGAGGACTCCCTGTTACTATGGTTTGTCGAACTTGACAGAGCCCTAAGGGCTCGTCGCGTCGAAGATGAGCAAATGAAACTCACATTTGCTCAGACCCACTTGGCAGGGCGTGCCAAAACTTGGTCCCTGGGACTCGAGAGTAGCAACCCAAATGTGGCTAGGTCGCTAGATGACTTCAAGCCCCGGCTCAGACAAACGTTTGAGCCGCCACGTGCTGAGTTCAGGGCTCGCTCAGAGCTCCTGAAACTCAAGCAGGGTAAGCGTGATGTGCACGCTTACGCACAACATATACGACTCCTTGCGAGTAGTATAACTGCCAACCCAGTACATGAACACACGTTGGTTACGGTGTTCATGCAAGGGCTCGCAGAAGGGCCCTTCAGGAGCCACCTGTTCCGCCTTGAGCTAAATACGCTTGAAGAAGCGATATCAGCCGCGGAACAGGAAGACTTTAGCATGAGACAGGCTCATGCTAGCTCAAACTCTTACCGTCCACCGAGACGACAAGAGATCGGAGGTCCAGAACCAATGGACCTCTGTTATGTTGAGAGCGAGAGACCTCGCTCTACGAACAACAAGCGATTGCAGAGGTGCAATCGCTGTCAGAAGTTAGGGCACTACGCACACGAGTGTAGTGCTCCACGCCCAGTACCAAACAGTATTGAGCGAAATGGACGACCTTTTGCCAGAAAGGGCAATGGGCGTGGGTCCAGCGCTGTTGCGAAGCCGCAACAGCGAGACGGACCATCAAAAAATGGTCGGGGTCAGTAGGGGCGGAGCGCCCTACTGATCCAGCAACCTCAAGAGAATTTGCAAATATCTTGACGAAAGTTGCTCCAGATACACAATCGTTGTGTGTCTCTTCACCTGGTGATGACGTTTCGCTCATCACCTTGAAGTTGGAAGCGACAAATGATTTGTCGCTTCGTGCCCTAGTAGACTGTGGGGCGTCGAACAATTTTGTTCGTCGCCAGTCACTAGAGGGTCGTAGGCTCAAGTTCGTTGAGCGCGACATTCCCCTCACAAGGATGACGGTGCGCCTTGCAACAGGCGCATCGATAACCGTTGCAAAACGTGTAGTAGGAATCCACTACACGTTAGAGGGCGAACAGTACGATGATGACTTCATCGTACTAGATCTGGATGACAAATTTGATGTCATCCTGGGATTACCTTGGCTCAGAAAGTACGAGCCAAGAGTGAGCTGGCAGCATCGATCCGTGAAGATGCCTGCTGCTTGTTCATCAGATGGCCATCTGATGAACATCTTGGAGCGTCCACAAGCGTGTGGATGTTCTGCGAGTGAGTGCGATGGCCTCACTTGCGGTACGGTCGTTAGCACGACTGCACAAGATCACAGTGTAGTTGATCACTACACTGTGGAGCAAGCTCCCGGCGGCTGTACAGAAGTACAGGCTGCGCCGAAGGTCCACCACTCGAATAAGTCGAGTGGACCGGGACATGGATGCATGCCTAGCGGGCAGCATCTTAGAAGAAAGAAGTCTGTTGCCCCCAAGGGGCAACATGAAAATCCTAGGTCGACTGGAGAGTCGACCGTAGAGGATCGGTTCCTGACTGTGGTTGCACAGCCACAGTCGGAAGACGTCGAGGGAATAAGTCCCCACGTACTTGAGGAAGGAATTCCTCAAGAGTCGCTTGCTGAGGGATTAGGCCCTCAGCAACCTGTGGAAGCAAGTTCCCAGGAAGAAACCGAGACGTTGAACGTCTTGGTTAATGACGGATCAAGCGTAGGCGCTTATACGCTTGATCTGATTGTGCCTCCGAAGTTGACTTCGGAGATAACTCAGTTGCCAACGCTA